CTTACTGAAGAATAAAATCTCGAATTTGGAGAGCATGGTTCATTTGGCTAGTATTTGGAAAGAGCACAAAGCTAGGAGAGAGGCATTTTATAATTCACTGGTCCTTAGCCGGCCTGCTCAGTTGAGAACTTTCAGACCATCCATCCTGATCAAATTGTTGGGGAATTTTTTTTTAATTTCCTGGAAACTCAGGAAATCGTGTCTAATAATGTAAAAAAGAAAGAAAATAATTTTATTACTGAGTATTAAACCAAACTGTGATTTACATCATGGGCAATCTGCTAATGAGATTACAAAGATAAAAAAGAAATATCACCATTTTATGTAGCTGAGCAGATACAAGCATCACATGCATGTTCTCAAGATAAATGATAACTTGTCCTCATGCAAGAGGACTAAAGTGTTGTTTTTCTCATCATTCTTTCTTAGTTCACCCTAGGTTCACCTGGTATTTGGAGTGGCCATCTGTGCTAGTTAATTGGCTTCATCCAAAGGCAAAATCAAACCTCTGTCTCTATGACAAGCAGGTAATTTGCAGTTTGGAGCCAGGCACCTAGGCTGTGCTCCCAGGGTGACAAGTAGATAGGGGCTCTATTGTCCTTGATGTTTGCATTTCAAAGAGATGGCTCCTGCCCTGTAATTCTGACAAAAGATTTATTTAGGTTTTCAAAAGATTAACAGACGTATCAAATGGGCAGAAGAAAGATATACAATTACCAGTTTTCTCAAGGAATTGCTCTAAGAAAAGGGAAGGGGTGGAGAAAGGTCTTTTCCCCCTTTGGCCACAGGGAAAATTCCATTTAAAAAAACACAACAAAAACCTTTGACTGTAGGTTCCCTAAGCCCCATTTCCCACAGGGGTGGCTCAGATCATCCTTGACAGCAGCCAGTGTGTGCTGTGAGTTGCATTGCAGGAAATGAACACTGAACCTGGGGAACCTGTTGGTTAATAGCAGCCTGGAAGCCAGCCTCGAATTTGCTTACTGCCAACACAAACCTGCGAAGTGCCAGGGAAAGGGCATTCCCTTGCTTTCTTGTCATACCCAGAAAGATGTATAGAAGCACGGGAGATCCATGAAGTGTCTTCCAACTCCACTGGGATAAAAAGAAAAAGAATAAAACCTAGGCAACATCCTACCCAGTATCCAATGTGCCATTGCCAATCTGTGCAGTGTGTAACAGTCACAACGTCTGAAACAGCCAGGGCCATGGGGGTGACAGCTGAATTCTATTGGCAGTAATCCACAGTGACTCTGCAGCCCTTGCTGGGCTGTTTCACTTGCCATACAAGACTGTTGAATGGACACGTAATATATCTTATTACACCTACCTTTTATTCTTAATTAAGGCTGTAACTTCCCTTTGTCCTCTGGGGATTCTCTGTTGTTCCTGTTAGACCACCTGCAGAGGACTTGGAGATGGGTTGGAAAGTGATTTGCATGCCCTGCTACTATGTCTCCACATACATCAGTCCTGAAACAGGAGAACCCCCTTTGGACTTATTAGCATTCACACAACAAGCATTTAAAGCACCATACCAGTGACACATTCAGCCGTGGAAGCTACAATGACAGTACATTGAATTGGCCCAACCCCTCCCCTCCAAAGGTGGTTTAGGTGCCTTTCCTCACTAATCCCTGCTGAAACCCTATCAGCTGAATTTGGCTGCTCCCTCACCTCCTTGAGGTCAGGTAGAATGGGCACTCATTAGGCACCTGTATCCAATAGAGCCTTAAAAGTCTGAGGTTCTCCCTTCCGTGAAGTTCTCCAGTATACTCAGAGGTTGTGCGTATGGCCTTCTGTCCCTCTTGGGAACATGGAACCCTCTGTCCCAGCCCTAATCATTTCTTTAAAGCAGCTGATTTCAGGGTAGAGGGGAAGGGAGGGGTAAGGCATGGAGTGAGAAGGTGGCTCCATGCCAGCAAGGAAATACTTACATTGGTTTTTGGTTTTGAACAATACAGCCAAGTTGCTCAGGGTTCAACCAAATGAACATTTCATTTTTTCAGTATGCCCAGAACTCTGTATCACATGGCAGGGTTCTTGTGAATGACACCATCTATTTCAACTTTAGGGATGCCTCCATTCTGCAGTTACAGCCACATTCCTTTCCAGTTGTGCCCATTGGCTAACTCAGGCTTTACAGCATAGTAGCAACTTTTTTCTTTGTAGGATGTCCACTTAAATTTGGGGCAAAAATCAAGCAAAAAGGAAAAAAGAGAAAAAACTCATGGACACAGAAAAAAGAAAAAGAAATCGTACTTAATATATTTTGTGTCCACTGTGGAATTAAATTAGAAATGAGCAGTAAAAAGGCATCAAAAGAAAATGGCCATCCTGTCTGGTGTGGCTGAGTGGGTTGGGCATTGTCCCATGAACCAAAAGGTCGCCAGTTTCATTCCCAGTCAGGGCACATGCCTTGATTGTGGGCCAGATGCCCGGTTGGGGCCGTGCAAGAGGCAACCAATCGATGTTTTTCTCACACATCCATGTTTCTCTCCTTTTCACGCTCACTTCCCCTCTCTCTAAAAATAAATAAAATCTTTTTTGAAAAGAAAAAAATGACCATATTTTTTAAAGTGAATGAAAGGAGCAGTAGAGGGAGCTATGTGGTGTTTTTTAGTTTTTTTCCCATATTTTATTTTATGTGTTTTTATTGATTATGTTATTACAGTTGTCCCAATTTTGCCCCTTTCCCCCCCCTGCCCAGTACCTGGCTTCCCTCCAACAATCCCCCCCACTTAGTGCATGTCCATGGGTCATGCATATAAGTTCTTTGGCTTCTCCACTTCCTATGCTCTTCTTAACACCCCCTGTATACTTTATATCTACCAATTATGCTTTTTAATCCCTGCACCTTTTCCCCCATTCTCTTTCTTCCCCTCTCCCAGCTGGTAACCCTCCAAATGATCTCCATACCTATGGTTCTGTTCTGTTCTGGTCGTTTGCTTTTCTTTTAGATTTAGTTGTTGATAGTTGTGAATTTGTTGCCTTTTTAATGTTCATAGTTTTGATCTTCTTTTTCCCAGATAAGTCCCTTTAACATTTCATGTAATAATGGCTTGGTGATGATGAACTCCTTTAGCTTTACCTTGCCTGGGGAGCTCTTTATCTGTCCTTCTATTCTAAATAATAGCTTTGCTGGATAGAGTAACCTAGGTTGTAGGTCCTTGCTTTTCGTCACTTGGAATATTTCTTGCCATTCCTTCTTGCCTGCAAAGCTTCTTTTGAGAAATCACCTGATAGTCTTATGGGAATTCCTTTGTAGGTAACTCTCTTCTTTTTTCTTGCTGCTGTTAAGATTCTCTCTTTATCGCTAACCTTCAGCATTTTAATTATGATGTGTCTTGGTGTAGTCCTCTTTGGGCACAACTTGCTTGGGACTCTCTGTGCTTCCTGGACTTGGATGTCTATTTCCTTCACCAAATTAGGGAAGTTTTTTTCATTATTTTTTCAAATAAGTTTTCAATTTCTTGCTCTTCCTTTTCTCCCTCTGACATCCCTACGATTCAGATGTTGGCACATTTGGAGGTGTCCCAGAGTCTTCTTAGACTCTCCTGGTTTTTTTTCAAATTCTTGTTTCTTCTCTCTGTTCTGGTTGAATGTTTATTTCTTCCATATGTGCCAAATCATTGACTTGAATCCTGGCTTCCTTCCCTTCACTGTTGGTTCCCTGTAGATTTTTCTTTATTTCACTTAATGTAACCTTCATTTCTTTGTTGTTGCCATACTCAATGAATTCTTTGAGCATCCTGATAACCAGTGTTTTGAACTCTGCATCTGATAGGTTGGCTCTCTCTGTTTTGTTTAGTGCTTTCACTGAGGTTTTGTTCTGTTCTTTCATTTGGGACATATTTCTTGGTCTCCTCAATTTGGCAGCCTCCCCTGTGTTTGTTTCTGTGTATTAGGTTGAGCTGCTTTGACTCCCTGTAAAAGGCACCTGTAAATTGTGTGGGGGCAGAGCCTTAGGTAATCGCCAGGGTGAGGCAACCTGCTTCATCGCTTTGTGCTCTGTGTGGGAGGAGGGCTCAGAGAGGGAACTGTTGCTATCTGGCCTCTAGGGGTTTGCCCAGCACTCACCCCATTCCTAGTCACTTCACCCACCCCCCTTATCCAACTGGCACCCCTCCAGCTGTTGCCCTGGTGTTGAATCCCAGAGTGGGTCAGTTTGAGTACATTTTAAGACCATATGGGTCCTTTAAGCGAAGTTTCCTGAAAATCCAACAGTTTCTTCCACCACCCCAACCCCCACTGGTTTTTATAGCCAGAAGTTATGGGGATTTATCTTCCCAGTGCTGGAACCCTGGGCTGTGCAGTCTGACCTGGGGCTGGGATCGCTCACTCCCAAGGTGTCCTTCCCAGTTTTTATCCACCACATGTGAACGTGGGACCGCCTATGCCTGTTCTGTCACCACCACCTCTCCACGCCACACCGTGTCGTCTTGCCTCTCTGCCTTGTCTCCTTGTCTCCACCCCTCTTACCTGTTTGGTTGATTGTGGCTCCTTTAAATCCTTGGTTATGGGACTTCCATATAGTTCTATGTTCTGAAAGTTCTGTGTGTTATTTGTTTGGAGATTTAGTTGTAATTCTTTTTGTGGTTGTGCAAGGAGGCAAAGCATGTCTGCCTGTGCCTCCATCTTGACCAGAAGTCCCTATGTAAAGTTTTAAAAAATGTATATACATGCTTCCTGCTAAAAGTTTGCAACACAAATTTTTAAATAAAATGAGCAACATAATAGGATCAAGGTCAAATTCTGTACAAAATTATTCTTTTTAAAAATGAAAGACTAAATATTGTACACAGTGAATAGAAAAAATTTATGATTTGATGTTTGTACTTTACACAACATTATGTATAAGTAGGTGTTTAATAAACATACACCAACATACTGTATGGTATATTGTGGTGAAGAAAATCATTAAAAATTATTTCCTATCTATCTACTCCCCATTCCCCAGTGATAACCATGTCAGCTTGAATAGGATTTTGTTGTTACAGGTCTCGGTGTCATTTGAGGATGTGGCTGTGGACTTCAGCAGGGAAGAATGGCAGCAACTGGACTCTACTCAGAGACGCCTGTACCAGGAGGTGACGCTGGAGAACTATAGCCACCTGCTCTCAGTGGGTAAGCACAGTCACCCTATTCATCTGTGAGGAGCCTATTATGGGTAAAATTGTGTCCCCCAAATAAAATATGTTGACGTCCTATCCCCCAGTTACTCAGAATGTGACCTTATTTGGAAATAGGGTCTTTACAGAAGTAATCAAGCTAAAATGAGGTTATTAAAGAAAGTCCTAATCCAGTCTGACTGGTATCTTTATGAAAAAGGGAAATACAAATACAGAGACCAACATACTCAGAGAAGACAATGAGACTCACAAGGAAAAGATGGAAATGTGACTGGAGTGATGCATCTATAAGCCAAGAAGTGCCTGAGACCACTAGAAGCCAAGAGGAAGGCATAAAACAATTCTTTCCCTAACACCTTCAAAAAGAGTTTAGCCCTGTTGACACTTTGATTTTGGACTCCTCTTCTCCAGAACTGTGAGACAATGAATTTCTGTTGCTTCGAGCCACCCATTTTAGGATGTTAGAGCCATCCTAAAAGAAGGGAAAAAAAGAAAAGAAATACAGATTTTTGTGCTGGGAAGTGGGGTGGGGCTGTAACAAATGCCTACAACAAAACAAAACAAAACATGGAAATGACTTTGGAATTGGGCAATGGACAGAGATTGGGAAGGTTTTGAGCCTAGAAAAGCCTAGATTGCCTTGAAGAGACCATTGATAGAAATATGAATGTTAAAGGTGGTTTTGATGAGGTCTTGGATGGAAATGAGGAACATGTTATTGGGAACTCAGAGGCAATCCTTGTTATGAAGTAGCAGATAATTTGAGCCCTGGCTGGTGTGGCTCAGTGGAGTGAGTGCTGGCTTGCAAAACAAAGGGTCGCTAGTTCAATTCCCGGTCAGTGCACATGGCTTGGTTGCAGGCCAGGTCCCCAGTAGAGGGCATGTGATATGCAACCGCACATTATGTTTCTCTCTCTCTCTCCTTCCCTTCCCCTCTCTAAAAATAAATAAATAAAATATTTAAAAAAAATAAAGTAGCAGGTAATTTGGCTGAATTGTGTTCTCTTGGGTGGAAAGTAGAACTTGTAAGCAATGAACTTGGATATTTTGCTGAGGAGATTTCTGAGCAAAGTATAAAGGCATTGTGTGGTTTCTCCTTGCAACTTAGACTAAAATGCTGAAAGAAGGAGAGAAGTTAAAGAATTTTTAGTAAAAAGAACTAGAACATGAAGATTTGGAAAATTCTCAGCCTATTCATATTGCTAAAAATGAGGTGTACTCTGAAAAGAAAATCAAGAGTGTGGCTGGACAAACAGTTGCTAAAGATTGGTGTATGACTTGTGGATCCAGTCAGTCTGAAGAAGACAGACAGGAAAAAAATGAAGGAAGGCTATGGGATTTCTGGGATTCTAGAGACAGGAAATAGGCTGATAAAGCTATTTGGCTGTGAATATGTGTTTAATTTCAAAAAAAAGGGAGGTATGACCCCCAAGAATGGTTCAGAAGCCAGCAGGGCTATCACAGCCACCAAAGGCCCAGAGGGCACAGGCCGGGAAGATATTAGGATATAGGCTGTCACCTCTTTGGTTCCAAAAGGTAAGTCACCTACTTGGTTCCAGGACTGAGGGGACAGCACTACCACCTAGAGCTGAAGGTATAAGGTCACCACATCTGATTTGAAGTCACACCTCTCAACAGTTACATGCTCTCTTCAAAGCTCTTTTCAACTTTCCCTTACAGTACTTGTTGACTGTTGGTTTCATGCTGATATTTAGCCTTACATGGAGTTTGCCACTCACGTGAGGCTGCATTTTCAAGCAACACAGCTCTGAGAAGACCCAGGCTCCGTGCTCCAGGGGCTGCTACTGGCCTCATACCACCCACAGGTTAGGACTCAATCAGAAGGACCTGGGTTCCCTATAAGTGACACGAGGAAGTGCATCTTCCATACCCCATATTTGCTGTGTCCCACCACAGGGCAAGGATTCAATTCAGTCAGTACCGGGCTCTTCTGTGTCCACTCACTGTTACTGAGGGAATTCTTGGTAAGTTTCTTTCCTTCATTGACTAATATGGTTAAATTCATTGAGCAAATACGTTGAGACTCTGTAGCGAGCCAAAAACTGTTTCTTAAAAGGAGACTAGTTATCTACAGAGGGTGGCAGGGCTCTGCTCCAATACCTCTGTGGCAGAACAGTAAAGATGTATAGTTGGACTTGCTTATATATACCTAGTTTATAGCACAGTTACCCTAGTAAAGGGCAAACTGCTTCTCATGGTCTTTACTAACAGGTATGGCTAAAATAAAAAAATTTAAAAAAAGCATTTGCCAGATCAGTAGCTGCATATCGGGCACCAAGGGATGTGTTAATTTGCTCACAATGAAACCACATTTGGTACAGCAGCTACAGTTGGACTCACCACCTAGTTAAGATTCTGATGATCCACTGTCATTCTCCAAGATCCATTTATCTTTTACACAGGCCAAATAGACTAGTTGAATGGGATATTGTGAGAATCATCACCCCTGCCTCCTTTAAGTCCTTGATGGTGGCACTATCTCTGCAATTCCACTTGGCCTATCTTACCATAGTAGCCTTCACTCAACAGTTCAGAGAACCAGTGTGTGGATTCTGCCAGTTGCTGAGTATATCTATTCCAATTATGCATTCCTGAACTCAGGAAATAACCACAGGATGGATTCGGGGACCCACTGTGCCCACTGTGAGACAGACCTGAGCTAAAACTCCAACAATCACTTCACTTTCATAAGCCCCTACTCTGTCTGGTGGGCCACAGTGATCTTTGGGTTTCCTGGCCTGGAATCAGTGTCAGTTCAGAGCCAGTGTCCAGTAATTTCTGTAAAGTCTCATTATTTCATTTTCTTCAGTGCACAGTCACCCTGGTAAAGGGCTGTAGATTCCTTCAGGGAGGGCTGGGAGAAAGATTGGTAGTATAACGTTTTGGCAGTATAGTGGGGCCCTTCCTCAAGGGACCTGGTCTTCCCTTAATTCAAAGGTTTCTGGGTCTATAAACTGGCTCAAGTCTGGTAATTGAGGATTCAGGACTCTGTTTTTATGTTTCAAATTAGACTTCTGTTCATTTGACCTAAAACACTTCTCCTTATACAGATCGAGTAAAGATTTAGTAGATTGCCCATCTGTATCTGTTCTAGGGACATCATGATTAAGTAACCAACAACAATAGGTCCCTGCAAATCAGACTATGCTAAATACTGGTGTGACCATGCTGTCCATTACGGTAATCACATACACCTTGCATTTGGCAGTTAAATGCCTCCCCTTGGTCCCTGACATCCCTGAATCCAATTACCCGCATTGTATTTAGGTTTCCCAATTCACTGGCCATACTTCTTACTGTAATTTCTGACCTACAGAGAAGAGCATTCACAGAGCACTTCGAGTGTACAGGGGGCCCCTCTCACAAATTTATTTCTCACAGTTTTGATGACCTGTGTTCTTTGGACCCTCCTAGTGCGGGTGAGCAATTCTTACATGATAAATCCACTTTAACATTTCAATTTTCCTAAGCCCTTGGGTATCTTTCTCTATAGTATACCAAAGTAGTTCTGGTATGTCATCCGCATTTAATATAGACCATTTTTTGGTCTTTGTCTCCGTCAACCAACCAACCAAACTGTTCAAGCCCTGCCTAACCCTTCAAGTGACAATATTAAACTCCAAATATGCTTACTGTGGCCATATCAATAAATTCTGCCTAATCCAACTTTATGTTTCTTCTGTTACCCCACACTTTTAATATCCATTTCCACACCTATTTCCCAGATTTCTGTCTATAAATTGGACAAATCACACCATCCATTTGGTGTGTAGTGCACCTCCTCAAGGGTCACACTCTGCACATCACCCCTTGGGGCCTGATGGGACTTGAGTCAAGTTACAAGTCTGGAAGCAAAGAGGGTTTTTGGGGTGGGTACTGAAGGAAATCAGCAGTGTCTTCTGAGGCAGGTACCTCAAGGGAGGCCCTTGCAAGCTCCTCAGGCAAAGTAGGGGTAATCTGCTCAGGCAGGAGTGGAAAGGCTGCTTCTGCTGGCAAAGAAGACTCATCAGAATTTAGAGGTTCCATGTCCTCTTATGGTCACATTCAATTTTCAGGATCCCATTCCTTGTCAATCAATGACTTCACTTTAATGGCAGGCACCTGCCAAGTTGGGAAATCATTTTGGGTTGTAATTTAGCCACTCTCAGGATGATACTCTGGGTTTGGTTTCCAGCAATCTCAGCTCTGAAGCTGCAGAAGCTAAAATTTTCTTTAAGGACAGAAATAGAAATTTTTAGGTCATTTATGCAGTGCCTGAGCTGGGAAATCAAATATCTGAGCTCATCCTTTTGTTTTTGCACTTTGTCCAGAGATGTTAGGAGCAATGAGCCAAACTTATTATACTTGTTTGACAGAAATTTCTAAGGTATTAAATGCACGGTCATCCAGAATCTTAACTTTTATAAGCATTTATTTAGGAGTACCCAATGATGATATTTTTGCATATCTCTATTGCTGCATCATGCCACAGGCTGTCAGTGCCCTCTCTAATACTGGAAATAGTCATTAGTGCCTTGAAATATAATCAGAATAGGAAACTAATTCTAGGAACCCCAATTCAGAAAATGCATCCTTAAGATTCAAGGTTTTGTTCCTCTAAAACTACTCTTGGTACCAAAATCTGTATTAGTGTTCTCCAAAGAAATGGAACCAACAGCGTGTGTGTGTGTGTGTGTGTGTGTGTGTGTGTGCGCGTGCATATACACATACACACAATATATATACACAAAATACACACACATATAAATATTAGACACTTTCATATATGCAGGGGGATTTATTTTAAGGAATTGGCTCACTTGATTGTGGGGACTGTAAGTCTGAAATTTATAGGGTAGGCCAGCAGGCTGGAAATTCAGGTAAGAGTTTATTGCAATATTGAGTTGGAAATCTGCAGGGCAGGCCAGCAGGCTGCAAACTGAGGCAAGGTTTCTGTGTTGTGGCCTTGAGGCAGAATTCCTTATTCCCTTTGCCCTCAGCAAGCACTCCAGCTGCTTGTGTTTCTTCACCTGATGGACTCACCCAAACCTTAATTCCTGAAAGGTCTGGATCATTTAGTAATCCTGCCTGAATTGGAGTGTTGTAATTTTTTTATTCACTTTACTCACAGGGCACGGTAGTATGCCCTAACAGCTTGCCTGTGTTCCAGACATACTCTTCCTTACTTCCATTGTGCAGTAGCAGTCCAGTTTCTCCAAGATGGACAGGTTCAATCACCCCAGCCAGCACAGTAACTCCCTTATTGCTTGTTGATTAAGAGGCACGAGGAGCCCAAAGTGTCCTTAACTTCCACTTTTGTGGAATCATTGTTGTGTCTGCTGGTGGATGGAAGCGTTCTTCCCTTTGGAACTAAGACAGCTAGACCAGCAGAGCACAATTTCATGGGTACAGGAAGCAAACATTTTGCTAGTGAACCTCTAGGGGTAATAGTGAGTGCTGCCGTTCCTGGCCCAGGGCCACAGAGGTGGCACCACCACCCCAGTCCATTTAAAGGACAGCATTGAGCCAGTGAGGATTATTCTCAAGCCTTTAAAGTTGAATGGAATTTGCCCTGCTAGGATTCAAACTTGCTTGGGATCTGCAATCCTTTTTTTCATTCCCATTTATCCCTTTGGAAAGGGAATATCTTTCCTGTACCTGACCCATCATTGTATTTTGGAAGCAAATAACTTGTCTTCTTTCACAGGTTCTCATGAAGAGTAATTTTGTCCCAAGATGACTCATATTCAAGTCTCACTCATAACTGATTTGGGTGATTTAGATGATGTTTGAGATTTTTAGTTGGTGATCTTTAGATACAGTTTTGGACTTAAGACTTTTGGGGATATCGAGATGGGGTTAGTATATTTTGAACAGAGGAAGAATATTAATTTTGGGGGGTCAGAGTGCAAGATCTGATGGGATGTGTCCCCCAAAAGATAAATGGAAGTCTTAACCCCCCAGTACCTCATAATGTGACTTTATTTGGAAATAGGGTCTTTATAAAGGTAATAAGGTTAAAGTGAGGTCATGGGGATGGGCTCTAATCTAATATGACTGGTATCCTTTTAAGAAAAGGGAAATTTGGGCACAGAAATAGACATGTGTAGAAGGAAGATGATGAGGAAACCCACAGGGAGAAGACAGCCATCTGGCCCTGGCTAGTGTGGCTCAGTGGATTGAGTGCTGGCGTGTAAACCAAAGTGTCACCGGTTCGATTCCCAATCAGGGCACATGCCTGGGTTGCGGGCCAGGTCCCCAGTATGGGGTGCGCAAGAGGCAACCACACATTGATGTTTCTCTCCCTCTCTTTCTCACTCCTTCTCCCTCTAAAAATAAATAAATAAAATCTTTAAAAAAAGGAGAAAACAGCAATCCAATGGCCACAGTGATGCATTTACAACCCAAGGAACACCAAAGATTGCCATAAACACCAGAAGCCAGAAGATGAAAGGAAGGATTCTTCCTTGTAGCCTCCAGAGAGAACATGATCCTGCTACATGATTCTGCTAACACCATGATTTCAGAATTCTAGCCTCCAGAAATATGAGACAGTAAATTTCTGTGGTTTTAAATCAGCCAGTTATTGGTACTTTGTTATAGCAACCCTAGGAAACTAAGACAGAATGTCAGTGTGGGTATTTCCATTCCCAGCTGCTGAGTGCTCTGGGACATCTAAAATGTGTGGTGATGTCGTCCTTGATTGGTCTGAGATTCTTCTGTCCTTTTCACCTCTATGATTATCACTCTTTCCCAATGAAATATGGTTACTTTTCTAAAGAACAAATGGAAAGCAACTAGCTGGATCCAATTCTCTACTATGTCCTATTAACAGGGTGTGAAGTTCCCAAACCAGAGGTCATCTTCAAGTTGGAGCAAGGAGAGGATCCATGGATGTTGGAGGGGGAAACCCCACATCAAAGCTGTTCAGGTGAGTGTGACCCAGGCAGAAAGGAGGCATGGAAATACTTTTTTTTTTCCTAAGAGAGGCTGGTACCTTTAAGATGCTATTATTGCTGCTTTTATTGAAGGTTTAAACTTTAGAAATTGCTTGAGAATAACATTGGCCTCTCAGGTACTAAATTGTTCTCTCCATTTATTTTCTTAACTGTTATCAATTGTCTTCTTTGCTTGGCTCTCCTCTAGGAGAATTACTGCAATTCCTATTCTCTGGATCATATTTCAGTCTTCTTCACTATGGATGTTGCTTTCTTGGACATTTTCTTCTTTCATCACATTTTTATGCTTCATTATTTAACCCCAACCCCAGGGTCTTAAGAGTCTTATCATATATTGTACATTTCAGGTTTTAATGGGTTTGCCTTCTTGGAAAATCATTTGGTTGCCTCACTCCTGTTTTTCCTAGCATCCTTTCACTTTCTTCCTTTCACGTTTGTCCTCTCCCTCTAAGGTAGCAATAAACTGTCACCTACAAACAGCCTCACCTCCTCCCTTTGTACTTATCACCTTCAGATTCCTCACCCCTCTCCACTTGCCCTATCTCCATGCCACTCTCTCATCTTCTGACTTAGTGATCACTGTCATGCAGCAGTTTTCCTTTTAAAATCAACTTTATTAAGGTATAACTTAGACACAGTAAAGAGTATCCATTTCAAGTGTACTGTTTGACAAAGTACACACTGGTATAACTACCACCACAATCATGTTATATAACATTCCATCACACAGAAATGTTTCCTCATGCCTCTTGTAGTCAGTGCCTACCACCACTTTGGCCCCAGGCAACTATTGACCTTTTTTTGGTCACTATAGTTAAATTGGTCTTTATTAATTTTTATATCAGTGGAACCTTACTGTCTGTACTCTTTTCATTAAGCATAAGGATTTTGTGATTTATCCATGTTACTGAGTATATCACTAGTTTGTCCCTTTGAGATGCTGAATACTATTCCAAGGTATGAATATATGGTAATTTGTTGATATGCCTATTGATGACAGGTGATTATTATGAACTGCAGTGAACATTTTAGTATGTGTTTATGTGAACATGTTTGTATTTCTCTTGGGTAAATACCTTGGAATGGAGTTGCCATGTCCTATTATAAGTATATGCTTTCCTTTATAAGAAATTGCCAACCTGTCTTCCAAAGTGGCTGTGCCATTTTGCATTCCCAACAACAATACATGAGAATTCCTGTTTCTCCACATCCTCACCAACATTTGCTATCATAAGTCTCTTTAATTTTTGCTATTATAGTGTTAATAGATATGTAATAGTATCTTATAATGATGTTATTAAGTTGCATAGTCCTCTGGTGAGTAATGATGTTAAATATCTTTCATGTGCTTATTGACCATTTGTATTTTATTTTTGTGAAATGTCAAATATCTTTCTCATTTTATTGGATTGTTTGTCTTCTTAATGAGTTGTAAGAATTGTTTGTATTTGCTAGATACAGTTCCTTTGCCAGATCTATGTATTGCCAATATTTTATTTCAATCTGTGCCTTGCAATTTTATATTCTTACTGGTGCCTATTAAAGACCAAACATTTTAATTTTGATGGACTTTATCATCTTTTCATATTTTTAATTGATGTGAGAGAGAGAGCAAAACTTCGATTTTTTGTTCCACTTATTTATGAAGTCTTTGATTGCTACTTGTATGTATTTTGACCAGGGATCAAACTTGCAACTTTCAGGTATCGGGACAATGCTTTAACCAACTGAGCTACCTGGCCAAAGCCTAATTCATCATCTTTTAAAAACTCATTAATATTTTTTGTGATCTGTTTAACAAATCTTTGCCTACCATAAGGTCACAAAGATTTTCTCATATTTTCTCCTATTAATTTTACCATTTTAGCTTTTTCAGTTTAGGTCTGTGATCCATTTTGTGTGTTTCATGTAAGGATTGATGTTCATTTTTTCAATTTGATATTCAGTTGTTCCTGAACCATTTGTTGAAGAGACTTTCTTTTCCCCCATTGAATTTCCAAGTCATGTTCATCAATTCAATTGATCTTACATATGTGAACCTATTTCTGGACTCTGTGTTCTATTCCATTGATGGATGATTCTTTCTGTTTTAAAATATTGGTTTTGTTATTATTTAGGTATGGTGAGGCCAACAGATCCAGAGATAATTTCCACTGAAAAGATAGTTTGTAACTCATAGCTCCCAAGAGGAGGGGTCATGCCACACCATGCAAGACCACAAGGGAAAGCACCAGGGTCAGCCAGGAGGCAGAAGTTGTGATGGGAAAGCTTGGGCAAGAGCCTTTATTGTGATTTTCTTGAGAAAGAATGGGTGAGGCAGAGTAAGCAGACTGGGAAGGTTTAGGATTGGCTAGTTTGAGTAATTCTTTGGAGGCTCTGTGGTGCAGGGACTGTCCCTAGTTGCCTCGTACCTGGCCCTGAGGTGATTAGGGCAGGGAGATAGTGACTCAAACTGTGAAGGGTAGATAAAGGAGATAGTTGGTGAATATGGGCTGTGGATTGGTTGGTTTGCATCTGAAAGGTATGTTCACAGGGAAGTCATTTGCTATCTCTAGGAATTAACTAGCCCTGGGAGGGACAGTCTCTCCAGGATAAGCCAGGAACCAGGTGGCAGAGCATTAAGAGTACAGAAAATAAGAAAATATAGTTAATATACAGTCCTTTTGACAAACCCATACATGCTTTTATAATGAGCCCTGAAATCAGGTGGGATAAGTTCTCCAACTTTGCTTGTTTTTATTACTTTGGCTTTTCGAGGTAATTTGCATTTCCATATAGCTTTAGAATTAGTTTATACTTTTTTAAAACATGCCTGTGAGAGAGATTCTGTTTGGAGTTGAATCGACTCTATAGATCAGTTTCAGGAGAATTGACATGTTAACAATGTTGAGCCTTCTAATCCATGAACATGGATATTTTTGTATTGATTTAGATCTTTGATATTGTTCAGTGATGTTCTATAGTTTTAAGTGTAGAAATGTTATGTATCCTTTATTAAACTTATTCCTAATATTTAACTTTTGACACTATTGTAAATGGCATTGTTTCTTTAAATTTTATTTTCAGATTGCTCATTGCTAGTATAGATCACTGGTGATTGATTTTTGTACATTGTGTATCCTGAGGTGTAACTAAATCCACCTATTAGTTTTCTTGTAGATTCCTTGAAAAATCATGTAAGTAATGATTATCACTTTAGGGACACTTTTACTTCTTCCTGTCCAGTCTCTTGCTTTTTACTTCTTTTCCTTATTTCACTAAGACCTTCAGTTTGATGTTAAATAGAAGTGTGAGTGTGGGTATGCTTGTCTTGTTCCCAGTATTAGGGACAAAAAATTTATATCATTAAATACGATGTTAGCTGTAGTTTTTCTGAAGCTTCCCTTTATCAGGTTATATAAGTTCTTTTCTAATCCTAGCTTGCTAAAGAGTTTTTTTTAAATCATAGTTAAGTGTTGAATTTTGTCAAATGCTTTTCCTTCATCTTATTAGAATGATCATATGAGTTACTGCTTTAATTTTGTTAATTATGTAAATTTATTTATTTTCAAATGTTAAATTAACCTTGTATTTCTGAGATAAATATTGGTGATTATGATATATTATCCTTATTATATATATTGTTGGATTCTATTTTCATTTTTTGTTTAAAAATATTTGCATGAGTGATACTGGCTTGTAGTTTCCTTTTTTGCAGTGTCTTTGTCAGGTTTTGGTACTAGGGTTATGCTTGACCACTTAATATGAGTTGTGAATGAGTTCCCTTCTCTGTTTTCTGAAATAGTCTATGTAAGATTGTTATTTATTCTCTTTTTTATGGCAAATAAACAGAAACAATTTTATTCCTACATCTCAGACCAGATTTCTTTAATTCCAGTTGTATGCATAAAGTTTTAACAAGAAAGCCATAATTTTCATGATGGTAAAAAACAAAAAACAAAACAAAAATCCAAACAAACACCTACTTTAGTAAAAAAGGGTGGGCAAATAACAGCCAGTCACTTTGCTGCCCATCTTGAAAATTTAACGTCACAGTTTCCATTTATCTTTTTTTTTATTGTTGTTCAAACACAGTTGTCTCCATTTTCTCCCACCACCCTCCCCCACCCCACCTCCTACCTCTCACCCTCATCCTACCCCTCTTTGGCTTTGTCCATGGGTCTTTTATACATGTTCCTTGACAACCCTTCACCTTCTTTCCTCCATTACCCCCCTCTCCTCTGGTTACTGTCAGTTTCTTTTTGATTTCAATGTCTCTGGTTATATTTTGCTGTTTTGGTAATTAGATTCCACTTATAGGTGAAATCATATGGTATTTGTCTTTTACTACCTGGCTTATTTCACTTAGCATAATGCTCTCCATTTCCATCCATGCTGTCCTACCATCCTACCATGAAGGGTAGGAGCTCCAGAGGGCCCAGAGACATATGAAAGGATGCTCACTAAGCATCACTAACCATCAGAGAGATGCAAATTAAAACCGTAATGAGATACCACTTCTCACTGTTCAGAATGACCATCATAAACAAATCAACAAACAACAAGTGCTGGCGAGGTTGTGGAGAAAAGGGAACCCTAGTACATTGTTGATGGGCATGCAGGCTGGTGCAGCCACCATGGAAAACAGTATGGAATTTCCTCAAAAAACTAAAAATGGAATTGCCTTTTGACCTGGCAATTCCACGGCTGGGATTATACCCTAAGAATTCTGAAACACTAATTCAAAAGAACCTGTACACCTCAATGTTCATAGCAGCACAATTTATAATAGCCAAGTGCTGGAAGCCACCTAAGTGCCCATCAGGAAATGAGTGGATCAGAAAACTATGGTGCATATACACTATGGAATACTATGCAGCAGAAAGAAAGGTTGTTATTTATTCTTATGCTGTTTCATAGAGTTCATCAGTCAATCTTTCTGAGCCTGGGGTTTTCTCAATGGGAAAGTTTTAAAAACAAACTTAATTTCTTTAATATACGTAAGTTGTATTTTTGGAGGAATTTGTCTGTTTCCTTTATGTTGTATAATTTAATTAGGTTGTAGTCTGAGAATACACTATGATTTCAGCAAATGATCTCAGGGAATGTCTCATGTGTCTCTGAAAAGAATGCATATTTGGCTCTTTTTTTTGGCTCTTGATGAGTGTTGTGTTTAATAGAAAATAATTACATGTGATGGAGAGTTGGAGTATACAAATCCATTTATTGTTTATATAGGTCAATGTGGCTACCACTACCACATTTTTCCTAGAGGCATGAATACATTTTTTTCAGTTTTATTTTAGATATAATTGACACACAGCAGTGTATAAGTTTAAGGTATGCTGCATAATGACTTAAATACATTGTGAAGTGACTACTACAGTAAGTTTAGTTAACACCCATCTCATATAGATATAAAAAATAAAAAATGTTCTTTTCCTTGTGATGAGAACTTTTAGGATATGCTCCCTTTGCAAATTAAATTGGTTATTTGCTCACATGAATTTGCTGTTGTTGCTAATAAGCAAGAGACAACAGGATTGGTGAGGATTTATAATCTGAAGCTAATGAGGACTTAGACTCTGAGTCACCCGCTTCAAGACTAGGCTCTCCATTGATATTTTCCCCTGAAAACCCTTGTCTTTTTACTCTTCAGTCCACCCTACTTAATATTCAAGCCTCCTGCCAAAATTAAACTAAATTGTTTATGTTGAACTCCAATCTCCAACACTTAATAACCATGTTTTAGGACAAAATATATAGATAACCATTCTGAGCTTTGCCTTCCTTATCTACAATAGGTGAATAACAGAAAATACCTCATAGAACTTCGGAAAGGATTAAATGAGTTCATGTGTATATGTTCCTTAGTATAATGCCTGGAACATCATAAGTGTCATGCAAGAGCTTGGCACATAACAACTGCTATATATATGTATTTCCCGTTATCATTGTCATCATCATCATCGGATTTGCTGGTTTCCCTGCGTTCAATTTGGAGTAGCTTATATATACCTTTTAATCTTCTGCTATCTATTCTTTGTGTCAATTTTACTTTTTTTCCCTCTTTTTAGATGGGAAGTTTGGGATTAATACCTCACAAAAAAGAATTTCTGGGAAAGCTTCATTTCATAATGAAATGGAGGGTGAAGATATAAGAGATGATTCATTGTATTCAATTTTAGAACTGTGGCAAGATGCTGAACAGATAAAAAGATATCAGGAAAAACCGAACAAACCTGTGAGTCATGCTACTTTTGTCAATAAGAAAGTAATGAATACAGAGTGGCATCATGAATATAAAGACAGTGGAAAATTTGTTCATCCAAGCCCAAATCATATTATTGCCTCACGGAAAAGATCCCAAAAATGTGACTCATTTGAAAAGAGTTTCAAGCATAATTTAGATTTACATATTAATACTAAAGACAAAGCAACAAATAACTTTGATAAAACTATTGGACACAGTCAAGTTTTCACCCAGAGTTCTTCTTATACTAACCATGAAAATATGCATACAGGAGTGAAATTCTGTGAAAGTAATCAGTGTGGAAAAGTCCTCAACCTCAGTAACAATCTGAAATTTCCTGTTGGGGAAAAAACAAATATGTGTACTGAACTTGGGAAGATATTCACCCAGAAGTCACCCCTCTTTGCATCTCAGAGAGTTCATGCTATGGAAAAACCTCATGAACTTAGCAAATGTGTAAATGTTTTTACACAGAAGCCACTACTCAGTATATATCTGAGAGTTCATAGAAATGAAAAACTATATATATGTACTGAATGTGGGAAGGCATTCATCCAGAATTCAGAATTAATTATGCATGAAAAAACTCACACTAGAGAAAAACCCTATAAATGCAGTGAATGTGGAAAATCATTTTTCCAGGTGTCATCTCTACTTAGGCATCAGACTACTCATACTGGAGAAAAGCTTTATGAATGCAGTGAATGCGGGAAAGGCTTCTCCCTGAACTCAGCCCTCAATGTACATCAGAAAATTCATACTGGAGAGAGACACCACAAATGCAGTGAGTGTGGGAAAGCCTTTACCCAAAAATCAACACTCAGGATGCATCAGAGAATTCACACAGGAGAGAGATCCTATATATGTACTGAATGTGGGCAGGCCTTTATCCAGAAGGCCCACTTGATTGCACATCAAAGAATTCATACTGGAGAGAAGCCTTATGAATGCAGTGACTGTGAAAAATCTTTCCCTTCTAAGTCACAACTCCAGATGCATAAGCGAATTCACACAGGAGAGAAACCCTATGTATGCACTGAATGTGGGAAGGCCTTCACCAACAGGTCAAATCTTAATACTCACCAGAAATCTCATACTGGAGAGAAGTCTTACATATGTGCTGAATGTGGGAAGGCCTTCACTGACAGGTCAAATTTCAATAAGCACCAGACAATTCATACTGGAGAGAAACCCTATGTTTGTGCTGATTGTGGGAGGGCCTTTATCCAGAAGTCAGAGTTAATTACACATCAGAGAATTCACACTACAGAGAAGCCTTATAAATGTCCTGACTGTGAGAAATCCTTCTCCAAGAAACCACATCTTAAAGTACATCAACGAATTCACACAGGAGAGAAACCATATATATGTGCAGAATGTGGGAAAGCCTTCACTGACAGGTCAAATTTCAATAAACACCAGACAATTCATACTGGAGATAAACCTTATAAATGCAGTGACTGTGGAAAGGGCTTCACTCAGAAATCGGTTCTGAGTATGCATCGTAATATTCATACATGAAAGTAACCCTGTTTCTTGAAAATGAAAAAGTCTTATCACAGAAGTCAGGTCCAAGTGTATTTAATAAAATCCACCTAAGACAGATCCTAAATGAATATATTACTTAATGAAAAGCATTAGTCAGGCTCTCTCACCTGAGATGAGAAAAGTTATTCAGAAGAGATACTCTAAGAATGCATTGAATAAAGAGGAATTTTCATATTTGCACAACCTCACAAAATACGATAGAATTCATATTAGGAAAAATGCTATCAGTTTTATGCATTAAGAAAAAAGCCTTCCTATTGTGAAGAAGTATTACAAAGCAAATTGTTACAAAATTCTTTATAGATGGAGTGTGAAAAATTATGTCAGTCATGTTTCCTGTGTTATATTAACCAATACAAAGTGACAACAAAATGAAAGGTAGGACAACAAAATATATTTGATGTGTAGACCTACTCAGTTCTGTAGGTTGTTTGTGGCAGAACACATTGCATAATGGGAGGAATAATTGAAGTTTATTTTTTGAATTTAATATAATTGTGTCTATCAGGTATATTTTCTATTGAGTTTTCTCTCACATGAATTCACAGTTTTAAAGTCATTATGGTTTTATATGTACATACACCTGCAGATACCATTTTACATGAACACATAAATGTAATCCTATCATTCATACTGGTTTCCATAACTTTGTATTTTTATCCTCTTTCATTATGGTACAATGCAAAATAGCCAGATTTCTCCTGTCCTTTTATGCGTGCTCCTTTGCAATGTTACTCTGTTTTGTTTTGTTTTTTATTAAGAGGTAGAGCTCTCTCTTTACTCCTTGAATCTGAGCTTGGCCATGTGACTTGCTTTGGCCACTGTACATTAGCAAAGAGATTCAAGAAGGGCTGGAGAAATGTGGAAAAAGCCTGCCTTGAGGCTTACTCTCTCGCTACTCTTTGGAATTCTAAGACTGTCAAATGAAGAAGCTGAGATTACTGAGGAATGAGAAACCAGATGGAACAGAGATGAGCCAACCCAACTAAGGCCCCTTAGGTCAACTGCCAGATATGGGAATGTGGCCTTCCTTGACCTTCAGCCCCAGCCTAGCCAGCCCATACCAGAAGAAGCTATACCAGTTATCCCAGCCAACCTGGAGAATTGTGAGTTAAATAAAATAATTATTGTTTTAAACAGCTAAGTTTGGGGTACTTCGTTGCATAACAAATGCTAGTAATACTTAAAAGTGTATGCATGGGGGGATATTGTACCAAAGCATAAGACATGTAGCATTAGCTTTGGGCCTGGGAAGCAGCTGGAGATTAAAAACGAGGAAATTTGTTAAGAAAGGCTGGAAAAGATGACATTCCATGTTATTTAGTAAGGAAAAAATGGCAAAACAGTCCCCACGCTTGGTGGGAAGATAGAGAATGTATCAAATGAACTTGTGGATCTGGCTAAGGAGATTTTCAACAGACTGTTGGAAGTATTAGTTTTCTTCTATTAACTGCATATGATAAGTACAGAAAGACAGATTAGAATTAAGAGAATGACTTCCATTTACAAGCAGAATTCTGAAGAAATAAAAAAAAATTCAGGACTTGCTGGGTTAGAAAATCAGTTTCACATCTCCCATCTCTCCAGCCATCAAAATATTTTCAAGGTGAAAAATGGCCTCAGGGTGCAGATCAAGTCATGAGCATGGCTGTAAGACCCTTTGTTAAAATGTATGAAGTACTTAAGTTGGTATTGGCAGACCCTCTCAGCTAAGCTCAATGGCTTCTGTACACTTCATGACATTGTCCTCAGTAGGCTGACACACTTCTCAAAGTAAAGAGGAGCCTGCTTAAAAAAGAATTGCCAATGTTGGGAGAGTTTCTTCAAGATGGCTGTGGAGTAGATGGAAGCTATACTCATCTCCTCCTGGTGCCAAACCAGATTTACAGCTAAATTATAGAGCAATCAACCTGAATGACCAACTGAAGGACAGTTGAACAGGAGTATTATATCTAAGGATTTATAGAAGAAGCTACATAGAGACTGGTAAAGAGGGTGGAGACACGGGAAGTGCTGCCCCTGCACCCATGTGCAGCACCTGAGAAGCCAGAGGGATACTTGACTGCAAATGTACCCCTTAAGGAGCATGAGGTCTCAGCCTCACATGAGAACACCCAACCCAGAGCACCAAGGACCAGGAAGTAGAGCCTGCATAGCATCTGGCAGTGAAAATCAGTAGGGACTCTGTCTGCCAAGAAGAGGAGGGAGTCTGCTAGAATCCCAGGTGCTCTCCTAAAGGGCCAATGCACAGAAGCTTGCTCTCAAGCACTCTCCTGGGGCTTCAGTAGAGGGAAGGCAACTCAGGGCATACGGGAGTCATAAGGAGAACAATTGAGTGGCATGGCCCTGAAGAGAGATCTGGAGGGTCGGCTTCTGAGGTCCAGGTCCTGAGTCAATATCTCACACTGCCCTCAGGCACCAACTTCCCAGGGTCAGGCACTTCTATTCTTATAGCACTAGTCTGGGGAGTACACTAACCAGACCTCCAAATACTGGCAATTCCATCTTGCCAAGCTTTAGTTCAGCAGAAAGGACTGTTAGCTGCACCCAACAGGGACCTTTGGTGTGCTATTTCTATGGAGAAACTATAGGCACTCAGACAGATATGGAAATGTGAGGCTTTGGAACAGGGACCAGTCTTCCCTACCTGTAAGCTTGGCCAGCACCCCGCCCCCGCGCCCTGCAATGAGAGACTCTTGTTCTAGCTTCCCAAGTCCTGGTGGCCCTGTACTGCTGAGCTCTAATCTGTAGGGGGAAGAAGGGAATGCCTCTCAGAGCTGGGGCCTTTGGAGTGCATCTCCCTTACAGACTCTGGTCTAGGGCTTGAGCAAGCACAGCTACATAGCTAAGGGGAGCTGTAGAGCTTGTCTGCCACTACAGCCTCAGCCAGTGCCACCCTCAATGGAAGACTGTCTTGACATGTTTTCCCAAGTCCTGGTGGCCCCACCCTACTGAGCTCACTTCTGTGGGAAGATGGGAATGCCACTCAGAGCTGGGGTTTTCAGAGCGTATATCCCTCAGAGGCTCCAGTCCCGGGCTTAGCTGACATCACCACCAATGGAAGACGGAAGATGGTCTTGATCTATTTTCCCAAATCCTGGTGGCCCTGCCCTGCTGCGCTTGCTCCTGCAATTTGGACAGGTGGCTGCACCCAGCCCGAACCTGTGGTATGTTTCCCCTAGGGCAGCAGTCCCCAACCTTTTTAGCACCAGGGGCCAGTTTCATGGAAGACAGTTTTTCCATGGATTTGTGGGGGCGGGGGTCAGGAGGTGGAGCTTGGGTGGTAATGCCAGGGAAGCTTCACTTACTCAGCAGCCACTCATGTCCCATTGTGCAGCTGGGTTCCTAACAGGCCAGTACTGGTCTCCAGCCCAGGGGTCAGGGAACCCCTGCTCTAGGGGAGCTAGAGTTGCAGACTCTAGCAGAGACTGAGTGGTATGGCCCTGGAGTAGAGGCCACATTCTCCCCATTGAGTGCCTGACCACACTGCCCCCAAGTAGGGGACCCAATAACCCTGTCCTTCTGACCTGGTTACCCTGCTCTACCAAGCTTGTGCCATGTGGAAGGGGAAGAGGGGTGTGGCCAGCTGGGACCCACTCCTCAGCATTTCTTCAAAAGGCTCTGGAGAAAGTCCAGGCAACCTCAGAGGGTGATGGAATAGCCAACATGTAGACACTAATCTCAGAGAGCCTTGGACCTTCAATTGATTTGCCCCCCCTCCCCCGACGCTCAAAGCTGTAGGAAGCTGACCCTTGTACACAGCTTAGTCCTTCCCACACATATCCAGGCCCAGAAGATACAACCACAATCAGTGAATAGTATGGTAGCCCAGGGCTGGTTACACACACCTGACACTGACCTGCACCAGAACCCCATTCAAGTGGGCCCAGAACCGACACAACCACTGGTGGGCATTGAAACTCACCAGAGCTACACCCAACTTGCCACACAAATGGAACAGCCAAAGGGGAACTCTGGCAGGCACCAGAACTTTCTGGGAACAACTCTGCCTCGGGGGCAACCCCTGAATAGTGACTCATACATGGGGAACGAGGTTTATCCTTATAATCATTCAACCTGATATAACAAGCTTGGGAGTCATAGCAGATATACCTAATACACAGAGTCGAACACAAAGAGGAAGACAAAATGGAAAAACAAAGAAATGTGCCCCAAATGAAAGAACAAGAGAAATCCCCAGAAAAAGATTTAAATGAAATGGAAGCAACCAAGAGAATGGCTATCATCAATAAATCAAATAAGGGCTGGTGAGGATGTGGAGAAAAAAGGAACTCTGGTGCACTGTTGTTGGCAATGCAGACTGGTGTGACCACTGTGGAAATCAGTATGGAATTTCCTCAAAAAATTAAAACTGAAACTGCCTTTTGACCCAGCAATTCCACTTCTGGGAATATATCTGAAGAAACCTGAATATATGCACCCTATGTTCATTGCAGCATTATTTATAGTAGCTAAGATCTGGAAATAATGCAAGTGTCCATCAGTAGGTGAGTAGATAAAAAAGCCATGGTACATTTATACAATGGAATACTATTCAGCTATAAAAAATGAAGGAAATCTTACCTTTCACAACAGCATGGATGGATCTGGACAGCATTATGCTAAGTGAAGTAAGCTAGTCAGAGAAAAACAGGTACCATATGATCTCACTTCTATGTGGAATCTAATGAACAAAATAACAAACAAAAGAAACAGAAGCATAGATATATAAACAGACAGAGAGGAAAGGTGTTGGGGGCTGGGTGAGAAAAAGGTGAAGGGATTAAACAACAACAACAAACATATATATATATATATATATATATATATATATATATATATATATAATATATATATAATCACACATAGGCACAGACAACAGTAAAGTAATAGCCAGAGTGAAATGGGGTGGAGTGAGGTGAAAGAGGGCAAAGGCAGGATAAATAGGGAAGGGTACTTTACTTGGGGCAATG